TTTAGGGATATGATATTGACCAGACTATTGTACAAATATGGTTAGGGCATTAAGGTATATATGTTTGTTTGGCTGTTTACTGGCTTGTGTTGAAGAGGTGGTATTTCACGTTCAATTTAAGGCCTCCTTCAAAGGGAAAACACCATGTATAATTAATTTTCCAGGAGTGAGTGGTGAGAGCTGATCATAAAGCAGGGGTAATGGCTGCCATAAAGCAGTGGACTAACCCTGGTCCTCCGAGCCCCTCCAGGGCCCATTACCCCGCTGCCCTTCGAGAGGAGATAAAACGCTTTTCCACGCCATCTCTGCCGATGTTAATTCAATTCTGCCTGGCTTAGTCTGCCGTGAGGGTCAAACAGAGGGATAAATCTACTCGCCTTAGAGCCTGGCTGGCTGGTGATTATCACTGGGTTGTTGTTCATACAACCCAAACACCCAACACTAAGGCTGCACAGCCAAGACATGGACAATGATGACTGTTGTTGGTGATATACACATACCTCATGTCTCCCCCCTGATACAGTCCATCACACTTTTGGCATGTTTTGTAACAGACATGTTTTGTAACAGACATGTTTTTGTAACGGACATGTTTTGTTACAGACATGCCCCACACCCAATCAGAGGCAGCGGGCCATTATTTGTAAGATTTTGATTGGGTGGGTTTGCCTACACAGATGGAGAATCCACGCTGTGTTATTCACCCAGTGGCTGGATGTCGGTAATTACTATCAATTTTGGGAAGAGCAAGTACAGACAGTTAATCTCCCCTAGCATTCCTGGTTTACAGGCGGGCGGAATATTCAAGGTCTTTCAGGTTATCGTGGTCCTGGCACCGACGAAGATGGCGGCCTCGCGACTAGCTCTTAGGAAACTTTGCGGTATTTAGTTTTTTTATGTATTATTTTTTACATTATAAGCTCCGAAAGTGTTTTGTATCATTACATAGAGCCGGGAAAAACTATTGGATATCAGAGTGGCGGTAACTCACGAGCATTACGACCAGGAATATGACTTTCCCGAAGCAGATCCTTTGTTTGCTCTCCCCAGGGCAATTTAACTAATTCCAGCGGCTGACCCAAAACATCGCCGGCGGAGGAGAGGCACTCGGAGCGGCCTGCTGGTTCGGCGTAGGATGCGCGCACACCATTCACCGCTTCCAAGTATATTACTCACTAATGTTCAGTCTTTGGATAACAAGGTCGACGAGCTCAGGGCAAGAATTTCTTTCCAGAGAGACATCAGGGCCTGTAACATACTTTGTTTCACGGAAACATGGCTTTTTCTGGATATTCTGTTGAAATCGGTCCAGCCAGATGGGTTCTCAGTTCATCGTGCAGAAAAAAAGAAATATCTCTCCGGGAAGCAGAAGGGCGGAGGTGTGTGTTTCATGATTAACGACTCATGGTGTAATTGTAGTAACATACAGGAACTCAAGTCCTTTTGTTCACCCGACCTAGAATACCTCACAATCAAATGCTGACCGTATTATCTCCCAAGATAATTTTCTTCGGTTATAGTCACGGCCGTGTATATCCCCCCTCAAGCCGATACCACGACGGCCCTCGAAGAACTTCACTGGACTTTATGCAAACTGGAAACCACATATCCTGAGGCTGCATTTATTGTAGCTGGGGATTTTAACAAAGCAAATTTGAGGACTAGGCTGCCGAAGTTCTATCAAAATGTTGACTGTTGTACATGGGCTGCTAAAATTCTTGCTTCCAGACAAGCTAAACACCTTCTTCGCCCTCTTTGAGGATAATACAGTGCCACCGACGCGGCCCACTACCAGGGACTGTGGGCTCTCCTTCTCCGTGGACAACGTGAGTAAGACATTTAAGCATGTTAACCCACACAAGGCTGCCGGCCCAGACGGCATCCCTAGCCGCGTCCTCAGAGCATTCGCAGACCAGCTGGCTGGTGTGTTTACGGACATATTCAATCTGTCCCTATCCCAGTCTGCTGTCCCCACATGCTTCAAGATGGCCACCATTGTTCCTGTACCCAAGAAAGCAAAGGTAACTGAACTAAATGACTATCGCCCCGTAGCACTCACCTCTGTCATCATGAAGTGCTTTGAGAGACTAGTCAAGGATCATATCACCTCTACCTTACCTGTCACCCTAGACCCACTTCAATTTGCTTACCACCCACATAGATCCACAGACGATGCAATCGCCATCACACTGCACACTGCCCTATTCCATCTGGACAAGAGGAATACTTATGTAAGAATGCTGTTCATTGACTATAGCTCAGCATTCAACACCATAGTACCCTCCAAGCTCATCATTAAGCTCGAGGCCCTGGGTCTGAACCCCGCCCTGTGCAACTGGGTCCTGGAATTCCTGACGGGCCGCTCCCAGGTGGTGAAGGTAAGAAACAACCTCTCCACTTCTCCACTGATCCTCAACACTGGAGCCCCTCAAGGGTGCGTGCTCAGCCCCCTCCTGTACTCCCTGTTCACCCATGACTGTGTGGCCAAGCACGCCTCCAACTCAATCATCAAGTTTGCAGACGACACAACAGAAGTAGGCTTGATTACCAACAATGACGAGACAGCCTACAGGGAGGAGGTGAGGGCTCTGGGAGTGTGGTGCCAGGAAAATAACCTCTCACTCATTGTCAACAAAACAGGAGATGATCGTGGACTTCAGGAAACAGCAGAAGGTGCACCCCCCATCCACATCGACGGGACCGCAGTGGAGAAGGTGGAAAACTTCAAGTTCCTTGGCGTACACATCACTGACAAACTGAAATGGTCCACCCACGCAGACAGTGTGGTGAAGAAGGCGCAATAGAGCCTCTTCAACCTCAGGAGGCTGAAGAAATTTGGCTTGGCACCTAAAACTCTCACAAACTTTTACAGATGCACAATTGAGAGCATCCTGTCGGGCTGTATCACCACCTGGTACGGCAACTGCACCGCCCGCAACCGCAGGGCTCTCCAGAGGGTGGTGCGGTCTGCCGAACGCATTACCGGGGCAAACTACCTGCCCTCCAGGACAACTACAGCACCCGATGTCACAGGAAGGCCAAAAGGATCATCAAGGACATCAACCACCCGAGCCACTGCCTGTTCACCCCGCTATCATCCAGAAGGCGAGGTCAGTACAGGTGCATCAAAGCTGGGACAGAGAGACTGAAAAACAGCTTCTATCTCAAGACCATCAGACTGTTAAATAACCATCACTAGCGCATTAGAGGCTGCTGCTGCCTATTGAAATCACTGACCACTTTAAGAAATGGAACACTAGTCACTTTAATAATGTTTACATATCTTGCATTACTCATCTCATATGTATATACTGTATTCTATAATATTCTACTGTATCTTAGTCCATGCCGCTCTGTCAATGCTCGTCCATATATGTATGTATTCTTAATTCCATTCCTTACTTAGATTTGTGTGTATTGGGTAAATGTTGTGAAATGGTTAGATATTACTTGTTAGATATTACTGCACTGTCGGATCTAGAAGCACAAGCATTTCAACACACTCGCAATAACATCTACTCTTCACATGTATGTGACAAATAAAATTGGATTTGATTTGATTTGATTTGGCTAAAGATTGAATATCCAGACAGTTTCTGCCTCAACACTCTTGAGACTGAGAGCATTAAGGGTGAGCAAGATCGGGGAGAAAGAGGGGAACTGATTAAGCGAGATGTCAGGGAAAACACTGTGTACATGGGGTGCGACATGGATGGCATGATGGTACACCATAGCGCCTGTCTGTAGACTGAACGTCTTCCCCAGAGAGATCTGTAATGTGGTCTTTCCCCAAACCAATACAAGTTATTTCTCCAAATGTTCTTAAAAAACAAACACTATAGAGTGTTTAAATATTACTGTAGAGTATGTGAAAAATGTCCCTCTTCACTAACCTTTATTTTTCAAATGAAATGTTCCAGAAATGTGTATTTTTTATACAAAATTAACTATGGCTGATGACTCACTGCAAAGAGAACAAATTATTTAAACTTTCATAATTTGTTATCCCCATATGGTGTTCTTTCACTTAGCCAATTTAGTAGTTGCAGTCTTTCTACAAGCCATTTGTCTTACGCAACATCAACTTGCATAACGTCACAAACATAAGTTATTCTGCCATGGCTTTAATGAAATCAGAAATCATTTTAATGAAATCATTAGGTTTATCAACCTTCGAAGCCCCTTTCTGAGTCTGGCTCCTGCTCAATCGCTCATTATTTTGACACAAGGCGGATCACACTCAGCTGCTGTTTGTCGCAGTTTGATTCCTAGCCCTGATGACAGCTTTGTTATTGAAGTGTGGGTGGACATATGTGAATGGGATGCGTGCACACAGAGTAAGTTGTTGTAGTTGTTTAGCTTGGCTTTGTATATCACATCGTAGCTATTACCATGTTATATGCTGAAGTTGTTATTTGTATTGGCTATTATTACCTTTAGTGTTGTTTCTATGTGTAATACTTGCTATTTATGTTGCCCATTTGTATAGTCTCATTGTATGGAATTAGGTAAGATGTTTACATTAACCCTGCTGTTGTTATTATTGTACTATTATGTAATACCTGGTTATTAGATACAGTCCTTACCTATTGTGCTATTGCAGTTCTGTTCCATTTTCATTCTCTGTTGTAGGCCATTTGATGCATACATTCATCCTTCTCTATTCATTGCATTCCATGTGTATAGTCATTATCTGTCTGGTCCTGTAACTTTACAGAACCATCCCCATGTACATCCCCATGTTCTACCCCATGTTCATCTTCTCCTGTGTGTGAATAAAGTTCCTGTGTGTGTTCACTTTTGGGCTGCTTTATTCCCCTCTAACCGGGGGCAGTGTCAGTGAGTCACAAACCAGTCAAATACGTAGAGCCGGGTCGCTCTCTTTCTCTAGATATGACCTTACTATGCTTATAATCAAGACTTTTGGTGTCCAGAATGTTAAGTACCTGTATGTGTCCTTTACAAATCAGTGTTAACAGCCCTCTCTCTCTATTCAAAAGGACTGTGTGTGGCCTAGCCATCTAGGATGAAGTGGAACCTGTTCAAGAAGAAGCCTGAAGCCATGGTCGGACCGGAGCCCACCGGGGCCGCTGTCTTAACTGTTGCCCCTGGCCCCGTGGCCTCCACTGCAGCTGACAACTCCACAGAGGCCGTCAAGAACGGCGACTTTGATGACATCAAGAATAAGTTCCTCAATGAGATCGACAAGATCCCATGTGAGTGCCTGTCTGGTGAGAGCCTGGTCTGGACGTTGCACAGCAACTAACACCCAGACCTGTCCAGATGAGATTGCATGACTTTTATTGATAATACTCTAAAAACAATGGCTTTGGAATTACACTGAACAAAAATATAAACGCGACATGTAAAGTGTTGGGCCCATGTTTCATGAGCTAAAATAAAATAACCGAGACATTTTACATAAGCACAAAAAGCTTATTTCTCTCAAATTTTATGCACACATTTGTTTACATCCCTGTTAGTGAGCATTTCTCCTTTGCCAAGATAATCCATCCACCTGACAGGTGTGGTATATAAACAAGCTGATTAAACAGCATGATCATTGCACAGGTGCACCTTGTGCTGGGAACAATAAAAGGCCACTCTAAAATGTGCAGTTTTAACACACAACACAATGCCAAAGCGTGCAATTGGCATGCTGACTGCGGGAATGTCCACCAGAGCTGTGCCAGAGAATGTAATGTTAATTTCTCTACCATAAGCCGCCTCCAATGTTGTTTTAGAGAATTTGGCAGTACATCCAAATAGCCTCACAACCGCAGACCACCTGTATGGCGTCGTGGGGGTGAGCGGTTCGGGATGCTCTGGATCCACGTGTACGACAGCATGTTCCAGTTCCCGCCAATATCCAAAAACGTCGCACAGCCATTGAAGAGGAGTGGGACAACATTCCACAGTCCACAATCGACAGCCTGATCAACTCTATGCGAAGGAGATCTGTCGCGGTGCACGAGGCAAATGGTGGTCAAACCAGATACTGACTGGTTTTCTGATCCATGCCCCTACCTTTTTTTTAAAGGTATCTGTAACCAACAGATGTATATCTGTATTCCCAGTCATGTGAAATCCATAGATTAGACCACAATTAAATCATTTCAACTAACAGATGTATATCTGTATTCCCAGTCATGTGAAATCCATAGATTAGACCACAATTAAATCATTTCAACTGACTGTTTCCTTATTTGAACTGTAACTCAGTAAAATCTTTGAAATTGTTGCATGTTGGGTTTATATTTTTGTTCAGTATAGATCTGTTCTACCCCTGAAGGCATTGACGTCCACTTTATGCCCTTATTATGTATCGATCAGGAGGTATCGTTGCTAATAGCATTCTCTAATATGCACCAAATCTAATTATTAACAAACAAAAAAAATTGTTATCCTGCGGTGTATTTGTTTGTGTGCGTTTGTGTATGTGTCTGTGTATCTTAGTGCCATCATGGGCCATCATCGCCATTGCAGTGGTAGCCGCTACCCTGATTCTCACTTGCTGCTTCTGCATCGTTAAGAAGTGCTGTTGCAAGAAGAAGAAGAACAAGAAGGGCAAGAAAGGGAAGGGTGAAATGGGCATGGCGAACATGAAAGGAGGAGAGGTATGTTCAACCCGGGGGGAGGGGGGGATAATTGTATAGTTATAAATCAGAATAAATACGTTGTGAACAAACACCCAACTTAAAGCTGTTCTTTATTTAGAATATTTTCCAATAGCAGCATAGAGGACCTATTGTCCTCTAATTGACAACCACATCACCCAGTGGATGGCATGGTGAAAATAGAGCCATTTCTAGCCATTTAGAATTCATAACATTTCACATATTTAGTAAGTCATTTAGCCCATCATTGAACTGTCAAAATCTCTAGAAAAGAACCCCCCTTCCTTCTTCATTTCTTGTTGTTATATATTGTATTTGTCAGAGATGTTAGTGGTGTTTTCTGTTGTGCTTTGGGACCTGGGTGAGAAATGACACAGCTGAGCTCTTTTACATGGGCGAATTATACTACTGTTGATGGAATATATAATTCTTACCAATTAGCACAGAATTGCCACGCCAAAATTCAAATTGTAAACAGCCCGTAGTGGCATTGTGGGGCTAAATGTTCTACTCTAGTACACAATCGATCATTTTATAAATTACATTTTGGGTCAATTGAACATTCTTCAACAACAACAGTAATATCCAAAAACTGATGGAGTTCATTAAAACACAAGGCCCCTAGCTTAGAGCTATTTTCAGTGGGGTTCCAGCACTGTGTCATTTTTCCTGTCCTATAGTGTAGTTGTTGACTTTGCCTCTGCTCTAATTTCCCTCTCTGGTGTCTGCTGTGAGTTCAATCTCTTCCTTTCTCCCTGCTCTCCTCCTTCCTGCTTTGTGTCTTATGTGTGCTTCGTGTATCTTGACTCTGGTGGACTTCTCTGCCTACGGTAGGTCTGACGGCACGAGGCGCCCCTCTCTGGCCGCTCTGTGTAAGCGTAGGGCAGTGGGAGAGGTGGGGGTGGGCTGGGCTTGTGGAAGGGGATTGGCGATTATTACAATGGGTGCTATGGCTTTCTTAGTCTTGCAAGCTTAGGTGCTGCGGGTGCTTGAGGGTGTAGCTATGGGAGCGATTAAGCTGCTTCGCAAAGTCCACTGATTTGATATGCTGCCACACCGACTGCCATGATGATGTCTTGAGTATCCATGGAGAGGTTGTAATTTGGGAAAAAGATAAAACAAACAAACTATAAGACCTCTGAAAGTGGAAATGTTTGAAATGGTTTTGAAATGAACGTGAAACTCATCCTACGGTTGAGCCTCTGAATGATGATGAGTGCACTGAGGCAACCCACTAGAGTTCACTAACATGCATGTGCAAAGGGTGAGGTTGGCTATTGTCAAATAATGGGGGAAACTTTACCTCACTGAGATCTTTGAACATGTTTCCACAATCGTATTACCTAATCAAGCACATTATTGTTCATAGTCTCTTACAGTAACTATAATACTAGTCTTGTCCATGCTCTGCTTTCAGTGTGAAATTCATACGTCATTTCTACGTCCTAAATTCAGTTGTGCAAACATGCTCAGAGATCAAGGTGAGACAAAGTGGTTTGTATCTCTTGACAAAGACCAACACAAGCCCTTTCAGTAGGTACCCACGGGGGGCCAGTATGAAAAATGTATGCACTCACTAATTGTAAGTCGCTCTGGATAAGACCGTCTGCTAAATGACTAAAATGTCAAAAAATTTACCATTGAATGGCCACAACTTGACTTGAGAGTAACTATCCTGGATGACCCATGATGCTGCTGACCAATTAGGTTTTAGTCAACGTTTCCCTTTCTCCCTGGAGCAGTGGTGTTAGTGGTAAAAAATGGTGGGTCAGAAAGTTTGCCTACTGGTAATAATGTGAGCCACATTTGAATTATCTTTAGACAGCATGATTCAAATTGAAACCCCGGTACTTCAATTGGCTGCCTACAGTTTGATTTCATAATTCCTTGCAGAATGTGAGCTCACAAATGAAAAGTTATCATAGTTATGACAATTGGGACATACCTTCGGACATGCCTTTCTGTAATATTTGAATCCCATTGCATGTATGGAATGATTTAGACTGGAGCTCTCCATTATAGCATGACTTCTCATTGATGTGCAATTTTCACGTACGCTAAGAAAAAAGGGTTCCAAAAGGGTTATTTGGCTGTCCCCATAGGAGAACCCTTTTTGGTTCCAGGTAGAACCCTTTTTGATTCCAGGTAGAACCTTCTGTTGAAAGGGTTCTACATAGAACCCAAAAGGGTTCTTCAAAGGGTCCTCCTATGGGGACAGCCGAAGAACCCTTTAAGGTTCTGGATAGCACTTTTTTTCTAAGAGTGTACACAGAGTTTTTCAGGATTGCAAAGCATGCAATCTTGACTACCAAAATGATTACTGACATTGATACATTACTTTAATGCACATCAGGAGTCATTATTGAGACTGAAAACAACTGAGTCGTTTCATTTACATTATATAAAGACTACTGTATTCACCTGCATTGCTTGGCCTGGCATGCTCAAATGCAAAGCATTTACCACAACTAATGTACAGAATGCCACTATAAGGAGAAGGTGAGTGTTTGTGTGTGTGTGTGTGTGTGTGTGAGTGTGTGTATGTGTGTGTTTGCACGTGCGTTTGAGGAGTGGGTGAGTTTTTATGCAAGCCTGCATGCGAGAGAGTGAGTGTGTGTGGGTGTGCATGTGTGCTTACGTGTACTTGTTGTTGGTTAAATGTTTGCTCAGTTGATGTGAGGTATATACAGTATGTAAGGCTGTGTATGCAAGGGTGAATATAGTATGTAGATTAAAGTGTGTCTGTGTGAATGTGATAGTAATTGGGTGGGTGGGTGTTTGTGTATGTGAATGGGTGTCTTGGTTTTAGAATACAACATAGAATGAGCCACAGACTGCCCCGGTTCCTCTTCCAGGGTAAGCTCTGCGGTGAATAGCATGGCACTACTAATTTACATTATTGAGTAATGTATGTGTCGTGGACAATATTTAAAAAATGCATTAGAAGGTAGGCAACAAAATCCCTTAAAAGGGTCAGTAATTCTACCATGACGTCATGGTTAGCTATTTGGCAATTTATATTATCATATGAACTAACACTGGGATTTGTAAATGTTCCATATAACTAGAGATACTGTACAATACATCTGTAACAAACAATGTGTATCAGCAGGAGTTATTAGCTCATATCTGCTGTAGATTAGTGTTGATTTTTCAGTAATTAAAGTAATTACGATGATTATGTCAGTGGAGGTGTAATCTTAGACAGTAATAGTGCAAACAGATTTTTGGGAGGTTGGAGTGCAGTTAGGGTTATTATTTCTTATTAGAGGGCAACAAGGAGAAAACAGAATACAATTATTGTATTGTTTCTGTAGACTTTGACACAAACCATTATCAATATCAAAGTGCCAGGATTTGCAGCAGGAACAAAAACATTTGTCCTGCCTGGGGCTACCCCTGTAGCAAACCTCGACTACATATTGACTGTTTTACTGTCCTTTTTTTCCTTTTTACATTCAGTATATCTATCTCTTTCTCTCTTCTGTAAACAATGAATTATGAATATAGAGTGCAAAAGCAAAATGGTGTCACTCAAGGAATGGTGAAATCAAGTCATGTTGCAACCAAGGTCATCGATGAAAAGATGAGATGTGCACTAGTAACATCTGGGTAAACAAGCGGGGGGTAAGTGGCAGGTAGATGGCTGCTGTAACTAACCAGACTGCTGAGAAGAACCTATAGGTGTTTTTGACACTCTCTGTTCAAATGTCTGACACCCACCCTGCCCCCTCCTCCCCCTTGTCATTCTAGAAACAGGACGATGATGATTATGATGAAGATGATGCTGAGACTGGCATGACTGGAGATGAGAAAGAGGAAGAGGTGAAGGAGAAAGAAAAGCTTGGGAAGCTTCAGTACTCCATAGATTACGACTTCCAGGACAACAAGGTTGGTGTTTTGACTCAAGCAGATGGCTTTCTGACGACCCAGGAGCTTAATAAATAGACTATTTTACTGTGTTGGAAAAAAGACTAAAAAAGCTAACTGCCTAAGCCTCTAGTCCAAGGTAGTTTTCCACATGACTGCTTTAAAAAGCAATGGACTTTTGCCATTTGCTGAGAGTTTTTTATCCTTCAAAAATGCAGCTTTGAGTTGGGCCAAAAGCCAAGGACAGCTGTAAATGTGAATTTTCTGACACTAAAGGATTGATTCAACCCATCATTCTATGGTTATGCTTTCAAGATCAAAACAGTCAAACTTTTACAAAGATTCCATTCCTTCTCCATGTTACATATGCAGCATATGAATGGATTTCCTTGACCTGTTACGCAACATTTTCTCCATCATCATACTCTTCTGTGGAGAATCTCTTTGTTCACTGATACCTTGAGGAGCAAAGGCAGACAGACAGACCTCACCACACCAAAGCATCTTTATCATGTTCATCGTAATGTGTTATACAAGCATAAAGTAAAGGCTTTCTTTGATCTGTTCAAAGAAACATCTGTTCAGAGAACTGTGGGTTGAACTGTGGGTTGTCTCTGTGGAACTGTGAGAGGACACTGTCTGGGTACATTGAGGCTGATTGATCATGTATAGAGCAAATTGACAGACCCTTTTTACCCTTGACCTCTGACCCCTAGCTCACAGTGGGCCTCCTCCAAGCAGCTGATCTCCTCTCCATGGACAGTGGAGGCACCTCTGACCCCTATGTCAAGGTCTACGTCCTCCCAGACAAGAAGAAGCATTTTACCACCAAGGTGCACAAGAAGACGCTGAACCCTACCTTCAATGAGACCTTTGTCTTCAAGGTAGGCTACTGTACTTTGATTTCTCTCTCTCTCTCTCTCTCTCTCTCTCTCTCTCTCTCTCTCTCTCTCTCTCTCTCTCTCTCTCTCTCTCTCTCTCTCTCTCTTCTCTCTCTTCTCTCTCTCTCTCTCTTCTATAACGTATATCAGAATTATAAAGATACATCTAATAGACCTAAGCTATGATGGATGGCCAGACCATAACTCCTGCCAGACAGCCATTTACCCAAAGCCTGATGCATCAGCTATTCTCTCTCTCTCATCTGATACATCTGCTGGGCTGGTATTTCAGATAACACCTCATAATGGAGATTCCCCAGTCCACTGCAGACTCCCTGCATCTGATACCAACTAGCTTCCACCATTGAATCTCCTCTGCCGATTATGGAGTCAGAGCCTAGACTTGCATTTGTAGATGCTCAGATGCTGGACATGTACTGTATATCATAAATCCATATCATATAAAGCTATCTTATGAATTCCATTTATCTGGTCATATCTGAAGTTCAAAGAAATGATCCGATATTGCATTTCAAAGAATGAATTACAAACTATTCTTCAGATATTGTGTAACTACTGTCTAATGTATACGGTGTATTTTAGACTCTAATTCCAGCAAGCATAAATAGCCTCAAGCTTCCCATTTTCAGAATCTAATTAAAGCTATAGTCTGTTCCCATGTGCTTTAATTTATGTTATTTTTATTGTGTGTCTGAGTGTTTGTGTGTGTCTCTGTGTGTGTGTGTGTGTGTGTGTGTGTGTGTGTGTGTGTGTGTGTGTGTGTGTGTGTGTGTGTGTGTGTGTGTGTGTGTATCTGTGTGTGTGTGCATCTGTGTGCATTAGAAAGAGAGCAGTAGTATAGACTAGTCTAGCTGGAGAATGCGATTGGAAATCAGAGCTTGGCCGGTGATGAAGCATAGCCTTAGAAACCCCAGAGCTGACCTGAGCAGAGCAGAGCAGAGGAGGGGATAGTTAAAGGAGAACGCCACCTCTCTCCCTCCTGTCTGAGTGCTGACACAGCTCTCTATGAGAAAGGGATCAAACCTGCTATACCTTCCAAAGGATAGGACAGGACTGTACTGTTCAGTTCTGCTGAATGAGCAGCACACCATGCAGGCTGGCTCTGGCCCTCTGTTCCTCTTCTCCCACTAATCATCCCCATGCGCCCATCACTTCTCTGGGGACACAGAGAGAGAGAGAGAGCATCTGCTCCCACTGCAGGGAAATACAGCCCAGACCCATTATAGAGATGACCAAAGAGGTCTAAGATACTCTGCCCTCATTTAATGGCTATTCATATTCAGGTTTCTGTATACAACTCCAAATTGTGAGATTCTTTGGATGCTACATACAGCTATTTGTGCATGTCTGGCTCTGATCATTCAAGGTCAATGTATGTATATCAGGTCAAAATAATGCTATGGTTGTTCCACCAATTCGGTGCCTTTTGAGAAGTGTAACTTTGTCAAACAAATGTTTGATTTCACCTAATCTTAACATTTTGTCATAAATAGCACATGGTCAACTTTATAAAAAAAACTGTTTTCCCATCTCAAGAGGTTAAATTAAAAATTGACTATAGCAAGTGCCTATTAAGTGCAAATTAAAGAAACAGGGTTGACCGTAACAGGGTTGACGATTTCATCTTAAATCAGCCATAAATCCCCTTGTAACGAGGGGAATGGAAGCTTGTTGTGTGCAACAGGGAGTGGCAATTGAATGAAAGCTTCATAAACATTTTTGAATTGTTAAAAAATATCTAACCTGTCTATCTATGGGTAACAGGGTTGGCATGTTATGCTCGACCCGCTCAGTTTTCCACCACAAAACCCCAGAAAATGACCAAAAAGAGTAGAACCAGCTTACCTGCTTTTACACTATGATTAGATGTTTAATGTTTCTTTCGAAAACAATATTTAAAAAGGGATAGTTTCACCATATTAAAAATGAGAGTTCAGTTCATGTAACATGGTTGACCTCAAAATGAGGGACAGACTAAATTGATCACTAATCACATTAAATAAATAATAATCTTCAAAAATGACTTTGTCAAAGCAACCAAATAACTAGGGCTTTACAATGATGGTGAAAACTTGGAGAAATGTTGGGGTTAAGTGGGTTAAAATCATAGAATCACAGAGGGTGCACGGAGGGACATTGTAAAATGCTGAATTCAGGCTTTTAATAACAGGCTTTTAAAATGCAATATTGGTGCACAATTTCTACTTAAAATATCAAAGGGATGCAAAAGGCACTCTTTTCATGGAAAGACCCTCTGTCTAAAATAGCATTGGCAAACCTGTTCAAAAAAACACTCCCCTCAGCTAAAAATAAAAGGTGTTCTTGCTTCAGAGGGTAACATTTATAAAAGATAGTGATATTAAATGTTGATGTTTTTTAAAAATGTTTTTCAGATTCCATTCCAAGAGATGGGTGGCAAGACTTTGGTCATGCAGGTCTTTGACTTTGACCGCTTCTCTAAGCATGACGTCATCGGAGAGGTAAAACTACCCTTGCACAAACTGGACCTGGCCCAGCCACTGGAGGAGTGGAGGGACCTGGACAGTGCAGAGAAAGAAGAGGTAAATTGGGAGGACCATCTCCCCACTTTTATTCAGTCCTTTGAAATATCATGTTGTACAGTTCAGAACGATGTTCATCCTCGTAGTGTGAATGGTTCCCTATATTTAGGTGTTGTTTAGTGTGAATGGTTTCCTATATTTAGGTGTTGCTTAGTGTGAATGGTCCCCTATATTTAGGTGTTGCTTAGTGTGAATGGTTCCCTATATTTAGGTATTGCTTAGTGTGAATGGTTCCCTATATTTCGGTGTTGCTTAGTGTGAATGGTTCCCTATATTTAGGTGTTGCGTAGTGTGAATGGTTCCCTATATTTAGGTGTTGCGTAGTGTGAATGGTTCCCTATATTTAGGTGTTGCTTAGTGTGAATGGTTCCCTATATTTCGGTGTTTGCTTAGTATGAATGGTTCCCTATATTTTCTGTGTTGCTTAGTGTGAATGGTTCCCTATATTTAGGTGTTGCATAGTGTGAATGGTTCCCTATATTTAGGTGTTGCTTAGTGTGAGTGGTTCCCTATATTTAGGTGTTGCTTAGTGTGAATGGTTTCCTATATTTAGGTGTTGCTTAGTGTGAATGGTTCCCTATATTTAGGTGTTGCTTAGTGTGAGTGGTTCCCTATATTTAGGTGTTGCTTAGTGTGAATGGTTTCCTATATTTAGGTGTTGCTTAGTGTGAATGGTTCCCTATATTTAGGTGTTGCTTAGTGTGAATGGTTCCCTATATTTAGGTGTTGCTTAGTGTGAGTGGTTCCCTATATTTAGGTATTGCTTAGTGTGAATGGTTTCCTATATTTAGGTGTTGCTTAGTGTGAATGGTTCCCTATATTTATATTTTTCCTATGGACAAGGGCATGCACACAATGAGGATGAACATTGAGGATGAATATCATTAGATTGAACATTATTACATTGAACATTATTACATTGCACATTATTAGATTGAACACGTTTTGTTCTCCTTTTTACCCCCTTCTCCCATCCCACACGCAGCAAGAGAAGCTCGGAGATATCTGCATCTCTCTCCGCTACGTGCCCACTGCTGGGAAACTCACCATCTGCATCCTGGAGGCCAAGAACCTCAAGAAGATGGACGTGGGAGGACTGTCAGGTAAAATATGGAAACATAATGATCACTGTGAACAAAACAATGGAAACAGATGCACAGTGGAGTTTAAGCCGCCCATACAGTATCTCCCATATCCTGGTTCAATGTGCTCCCCTTGGTCAAGGTCAACGAGACAGTACAGGACAAGGAGGCAATACCTCTATTCACACAGTACACCCAAATCTATGTTCCCATCAGAGTGTTTCTTTGTGCATTATTCTGTGGTAAAGGTTAGGCTATACATGAAATAGGATCCAGTAAAACCTTGTGAATCGACCGTGTGATTTTGATCTGTATGGTGAGCTGCTGTAGGCTACATTGCAAGCAGCCAATCTCCAGGGCCATTCAGTTTGCCCTCACGTGCTGACGCTGATGTACCCATGACCCTCCACTCCCTTCAGCTAAACTGCACTGCACCCATCTGCTGGCAGTTTACTGCATTACAACCACTGCTGGGTTCCTTTTGTTACTGGAGCCCTGATGGTAATGAAGTATTGTGTTTTAATGATTGAACTCTGCTGAAACAATGTGACAGGGACAATAAGATACATCTATTAAACTACAAAAATACATGTTTGTTAATAATCCCAATAGCGAATCTGCGACCAGGCTTGTTTTAATACATGGCTGTGTATATCACTCCCTCTGTGTGCAGATCCCTATGTGAAGATCAACTTGATGCAGAACGGCAAGCGTCTGAAGAAGAAGAAGACCACGGTGAAGAAGAACACTCTGAATCCATACTACAACGAGTCCTTCAGCTTTGAGATCCCTATTGAGCAGATGCAGGTAGTGTACAGCTGGGAACAAAGCACTCAAAGACAGACAGACAGACAGACAGACAGACAGACAGACAGACAGACAGACAGACAGACAGACAGACAGACAGACAGACAGACAGACAGACAGACAGACAGACACACACACACACACACACACACACACACACACACACACACACACACACACACACACACATTCCTGACCACAGCACAGCTGTGCTAAAACCAGAATTAATCATGCCCCCTTGTGTATCATTGAATTTGATTACAGTAATGCAAGAGTGTACAGCTGGGTGGGAACAAAGTGCCCAAAGGCATACATACTGTACACCATGGAATTAGAATTCAATGATGCAATTATATTCTGTAAGATCATTCTAAACGTCAATAATATAACACTTTATTTTTCTCATTCCCTAGAAAATCCAAGCTGTGGTCACAGTGCTGGATTATGACAAGATCGGTAAAAACGACGCCATCGGGAAGATCTGGGTGGGCAGCAAGGCGACGGGCACCCAGCTGAAGCACTGGTCCGACATGCTGGCCAACCCTCGCCGCCCCATCGCCCAGTGGCATCCACTGCAGCCCGAGGAGGAGATCGATGCTTCGCTGGCAGCCCTGAACGCCAAGAAGTAAACCTCCTCTACCCACAAACACCCACACCCAAACCTACCCATCATTCTCACCCCTGGTCCTACACATCTCCCAATACTACATTTCAAACTAACACACCAACCAATTCTACACCCTTCACCGCAAAAGATACCTACCTATATCCCAATTGACATGATCAACAAATAATAGAAAATAAAAGCTGTGCCATTCCACAAGGAGACAGTCACAAGATCACTCAATTGATTTTCATATTGGGGTTGCAGTTAGTTACATTGTATCATGAGGATAGGAGCCTAGAGTGTGAAAACAGGGGTCCAATGTGATGGAGGATTAGGGAAGTAAAACCACACATTCACTCATTTTGTACCTTTTCACCCCCTCCCCTTAGAGACAACGTTTGCTTCAATACTGCTTAATAATTAAAATGCTTTATACTGCCATGTAATAGAGGAAAAACACAAGCAAGTTAATTCCTTAGGTGTATTGTTGCACCATGCTCCACACCTGCCAGTTACTTACTTACTACTTACTTACTACATACTACATACAATTCCATTAGTTTGAAGTACATTCCTAGAGTTGGGTAAAGAGTAGAGATACACAGTATCCAGTTAACCCACACTGTTAACACACTGCCTTTTTGATTATTAGCTCATCTGCTCACCCATATTCTCAGGTACACTGAGAGAAAACTGAAACTTCATGCCTTTCTTTCGAAACGGGTTGTTATTAAAAATGCTCCGCAACATGATCAGAGAATAATGTTTTGATGATTTGAAAATCTCAGTCTGGTGCTGGATTGGTTTATTTTTCCATAATCTAAGACTAGTCTAAATTTATCACTGAAATGGCAACAGGAGATAGTCTCTCTAGAGTGTCTCTCAATAACACAGTTTGTGGCTGTCAGTCAACAGAGTTGAGATGTGAAATATGTTTAGGATAAAGGGACTATGAGCCACTGTAAGTGTCTACCATGGCCCTATGCTGGCAAAGCATGCAAGAGAGAGAATATCTGTGTGGAAACTCCAAGGACTGAATGGGACCCTGGTTGACACAATGTTGTTTGTCAGGTGTCCATTCTACTGCCTGCAATCTACCACCTTCCCCTCCAATGCCTCTACTATTTATGATCTATCTCCCTGTTCAGTGCTACTGCCATTAGTCATGGACTCAAAACAAGGATTTCACTTGTTCAAAGGAATCCCTGTATCCGTCTTACAGTCATAAAGGAGACAAGCCTTCCAAGTAATAAAATAAGCAATTCTCAACTACCAGGGACGCCTTCCAATTAGCTGTGTTGTTTTTTACTCACCCTTTTCTTTTCAACCTCAAACACTTTTATTCCTCAAGCACTTTAAATCCAAATGTTCTGTTCTAATTCTACTCTCCGAAAACCAGAGCTTTAACAATTTATTTTATGATGAATAATTCCTGGTAAAAAAGCAAGAGAGTGAATTTGTGAGTGAATCATTATTTTTGTAGGTTTGTTTGATCATTTCTCACCTTGTTTTTCTTGTGAATGCACTTTGATTGTTCTGAGATAATTGTTCTTAAGTTCGATTGAAAGGATAAGATCTGGAAGTAGGTTCCCGTTATGTGTACGTATACACAGATTACCAAACTGCTGAATCTAATTGCACTATACTGGATATCACTATGTTTCGTGGTTATAGATTGTTATTTGATCTATGGAGTTTTTGTGATGAGATGTCGTGAGTTTGAGTCAGGTCTCGTATTCAAAAGTCTTCTGATTGGGAATAAGACACATTTCAATTAAATGATGCTCTTCAGATCCTTCGCTGAATAAGGGATTTTCACATTTTGACTTTCTCTTGAGATACATTTGAGTATAAAACTAATCATATGACTGAATTAAATGTACAATTTAAACATTTAAAAGCCGTAGCAAATACCATTGATGGGACTGACTTTCTGTGACCAGTCCTCTGACTAGCTCGGTAGTAGCACGCGTTTAACGATGGGTTCGACAGGACACCCATACCAAAAACTGTTCAGCACGACAGTCGCTTGGATCTTGCTAATGCTTGTTCCAAACGACAAAATAGTCCAAAGCAAAGCAATGTCTTTCAATGACGGCGAAAAGTACTTGATTGTGTTTAATAACAAGCAGTTTGATGTTTAAACAGTTTGACAACTTTTATACGCTTGGGAATTACAGTAGTAAATGTTGGTTAATGTATTGCTTTTCTCTATTGGACACCTATATCTTTATTTATATGTCCATTAGGGGTCAGATTAGTTATGTTTTATATTTCATTTGATTTAGATTATTCTACATGTTCAAAAAGCAACACTAAAGAAAATACAAAATGCAAGCAATCAAACAACCATCGGTGTGTAGTTTTGCCTATATACATAGTTCATCCATGTTGATACTGCATGTTTCTACAAAATACTGTACAAAAGAGCATGTTTTAGAGATAAAGCAAAAATATATTGTGTACGTATGTGGGTGTCATTTGTCATTTTAATACTCTAACACAATGCAGGAAAAAATATACACTGTATATTTTCTAAATGAAACAAATGTGTATTTATTTTCCATGAATGGGTTATTGGAGAAAATGTCATAATATATTAGAATAATACGATTCTGTCCACGCCTAAACTTTTAGGCAAATTTGTCGTCAAGTACTGTGTGTGAGTTCACGTAGGATGAAAATGTAGCCGCATGCTTGCTATCTAACTCCTTGTGATTTATTTGGATTAATTATAATTTATTTCAAATGTATTTATTTCAAATGTATTTATTTATTTATTCATACAATGTTTTCTTTTGGGATTATTTAAGTCTATGTTTGTCTTCTTGCCAAATATCAGACATTGTAGGGGGGCTCCAAGTTCAAGGAATACAACTATTCCAAAGTGGAACTCTCCAATGATCAGTGCCAATGCTGAAACGTTTACACCATTTGGTTAAAAAGACAAGAAAAAATATCATCCTGATTTTTAGACGAACATGTATTACAAGCATACTACTTAGGATGCTAAAGAGCCTCCCCATAACTGAATCCACACACCTCCAAACTGGACAAAAAGCTTGGAGTCCCCTACTGTACATTCAACTTTTTGGGGGGAGTTTTACTTTGCGTTGGTTTAACGACCTGACACCCTTTGCAATTATGTACATTTTACGGTGTTTATTATACAAATATATGTGTATGTGTAAACAGATAGTTGAATTAGATAAAAACTAAAGCCATAATACTCAAGCACTAACTCTTTAGAGCTCTGCTGTATAACTAGTTATTGATTTGTAAAAAAACAACAACAAAAAAACGTCTTAATCTTTCTAGGTCAGTGTTTCTCATCTATGTTCTGTTCAGAACTCTGTACTCATCTAGATTCTAGAAGGCAAAATACTGAGCACTGAGAGCAGTTGTGAGTTTAGTAGAGTGGATGTGATTTTGTTTTCTACTTTGAAGATGTTGAAGCTGTCTTTATTTTATAAATGTAGTAGCTGATATATTCCAGTGATGTAATTTGTATATGCCTTGTTTTGATAGTATGAATCATGGATCTTCTTATCTCACAAGATGTTATTGAAAATACTAAAAGAAGGCATGCAGAACATTTACATTATTGAAATGTGAGTGTCAGGCTGGCCTGTTGGTGATCCTTGGGCTGAGTGCAATTTATTTAGGACCCTAACTGCGATGTGTGGATCCCTCTATTTTCATCCACAGTGGCTTTACAGACATTACATAACATCGTGATCAAAGATATGGCAGAAATATATATCTAACTTGTAACAATGCCAAGCCTCAGCATTATTGATTGATCAACATAGGTTGCGTTCATGGCACACAGTAAAGTTAAGATAAATAATCTACAGCCTAATCTTAGCCACTTTGATGGAAACTAGCTGTTTCAAGTCAACATTTCCTCTAATAGCAACACTATTGAAATAATAATCATAGTGTTGTCTGATGTTTGCAACAATTTTATAACGGGATCATTGATGTTGCTTCTTCACTCAATGTCACAATCAATCCTGTTGAACTGTGACCAAACCAATGCACATGGAACTTTAATCCAGTTGAAGATTTCAGTGTCTTTCCAAAATACTGCCAGTATATCCATCTATATTTACAATTCCATGAAATCATCATCAGTAATCTGTTTGAATCTATTTCAGAGCCAAAATAATTCCACTGATGCGGATGCAGATTAGATGATAAAATAACTGTGATTAAAGGGTCATATGCAGCACATTTTTATTAAAAAAAGTTGATTGTTTCAATGCGTTTTACACTGCCACGGTCATTGCAATCATGACCACCGACTGGACAGTTAGCTGTATGGGGAAAAAGACTGACAACTGTGTATTTATGTATGTTACAGGACAAAAAGCATAGGCCCTTTATAAAGTTAGCGGTTGCAGTGCTAAAACACAGTACTACTGCAACTTACTATACCTTACTATACCTACAGTATACCTATACACTTATATATCTTCATGCCCAGAATACATAAACCATTCTTAAGTGTACATTTAAGTGGTGATGAAAATAATTAACAAACGTGTTTTTATTTACAATGTTTAATAGAGTTTAAAATTATTTATATTATAGGATTACCTATTTTTTTGATAGCCTAAATTGATATATCTACTTTATGCACAACTGCTTTAGAAACTAACTGTAGGCTATATCTCAGCGGGGAAGAAACAATGGATTGAGAGCACGATGATTCACACACTACATTCTACAGTTCTTTTGTACTACTGGCTGCTTTGTTTCTATCAGGCTTTTAAATTAAGTATTCAAGTACATTATAAAAAGGGTCAATGTGATTTACAAAGGGATACCATCCGAACTAGAGTCCATCGTATCAAATCACATTTTATTCGTCACATGCTTCGTAAACAAAAGGTGTAGACTAACAGGGACATTTTTACTTACGGGCCATTCCCAACAGTGCAGAGTGAGAGAAAATAGAGAAATAGTTGAAAAGTCATACAACTTCCATGTAAATAATGTGTTAGGGAGTGTCTCAGTGGGCCTAGGTCACTCACCACCTAACGGTGTGTTCTCCTGTCTCTGTTTGTGTAGCTCACTTTGGGTTTCCTCTTTCTACTGTAATAATCACTATGTTAGTGTTGTGTTTCTATTGTATTATATTTAGAATGCAAAACTGCATTAGGACCAATGGAAGAGACAATTATTGAACTTTTCCACCATGAATTCACTGTTTTTCTGTCTTAGCATTAATGTGCTGTTGTTGTGGAACTGGGCTCGCTGGGGGCTCCTTTGGATCCAGAATGATACTGTCTGATTTTCAGAGGAACGTCGTCCTTCACGTTTACAACATGGATATATATACTGCCAAAAACACGCAGAATAGTACCAACCCTCTCTCTTGAACTCTTCCTTCAATTCTCATTCTCCATACTACAATTGTATTCCTAAACACTCTTTTTTTCTCCTCTCTTTCCCTTCATCCTTGTTTTAAGCCCCAGAGGACCATGGGATTGTGTGTCCTCTGGCTGTGTTTCTACGTGTCTTAGTGTTGTGGTGCGCGTGTTCATGTCAGTACTTGTGCCTACTGTGGATCGCATGTTTTAGCCCTTGACTGGACACAACACGTTGCTCACATACAAACTGCCCACGGGCCGTAAGTGGATGAGCATCGGGGATCCTTGTAAAGTTATCGAGGGAACCAAATAACTCCATACAGATCTATAATAAGTGTTACCAGCTCTGTATGAATCAAATAGGAAATAAAGGCCTTTTAATAAGCTTGGACTCATGTGTTGTCTGTGCATCATGGCTCTTGTCTTTATTCTGTAACCTTTCTACAAGGGGATTTTAACTTTAGCATCAGAGTGTTCATTGGTTGGATTAAGAGCTACCAGTTTCTATCGCAAGATGTCTGGAATTGAGCACACGGTACTGAACAATTCCTTTGAGAAGCACTTAATGCCAAGTGATAAAGATTTTGGTAGAGTGAGAACACACATAATGACAGTTATCACATATTTAACCATCTATAGTTTATTGAGCAAGTGATCAAACCACAGCCATGTGTACAAGTAGCATTTCAGTTTTATCAGTCTCTTATAATACATACATACATGGTAAAGTTGTTTCAACGTAAAATACCGTCTTTAAATATACTTACAGTACATGTGTAGACAGATAGCTGTATTGGTCTTTCAGGAAAGGCACATGTAGTATACATAAAGAGCAGTAGAGGCTGCTGAGGGGAGGACGGCTCATAATAATGGCAGGAACGGCGCAAATGGAATGGCATCAAACCATGTGCTTGATGTATTTGATACCATTCCACTGATTACGCTCCAGCCATTACCATGAGCCCGTCATCCCCTGTTAAGGTGCCACCGACCTCCTGTGAAAAAGAGGCCCTGTGTTGTGCCCTGTGCTATCTGCATTACAAATCATGTACAGGTTTCACTTGAAATAAAAAAATATGCTGTCCATCTCATAACGTGAGGCACTATGTGGACTAATAGTACTGTTTCATAAAATGCTTTGAAGATACATATTAATAATATATTGATAAAAATAGTTGACTATAAGTAAGAATATTCTAAACAAAAAATTCATAAATTATATACAAATATCCAACAAATGTGACATCTGTCTCTCCAGAGACCATGGTACACCACACTAAAATCAAAGCAGGAAAAGGTTAATGAGCAGCTCAGAGAAAATGGTCTGTGATGGAAATTCGGACTTCAATTGAGCTACACACCATAAAGACTAATCATATAAACACCTCATAACAATTGACAATGTGTAATGTTATCAATATCATGAACGATTATTGAAAGTTTTACCTGTGATTGTATTTTCAGTTGTTTTTTCAGCAGTGCACAATGAAGCACAAAATAAACATATGTTTGTGGATGTGATATTGTTTAGAGATTGCTGCCCTGGAGTTTACTGTACCCCAGATCAACACTCTCTTTGTGCGGACGCTGTGGGATGCTATGTGCTCTTCTTCTCACCTTTGACCTCCTGGAATGAAGTGGGCCAATGATCATGGAGGTCAAGGGTCAGGCCAGGGGTCATCTGGAGTTTGATGGTTCCTCACCATGCCTCTGAGAACAGTTAGCAGGTAGGTATCACTGAGCACCATGGTACAGTCTCAGGGTGGAGGGTGCCGAATGCCAATGATAGTGACACACGTTGCAAGCTTCAGGGAAGTATACTGTGACTTGGACAGGGGGCTTCCAATCTCTTACTTGGACAGCTTGCTGATGACACGGATCAGAGCCCCGTTCTCGTCCTTCAGTCTCTGGTTGTCTGATTTAAGCTCTGTCAAGACCTACAGGAACAGAGAGAGCAGCATTATGTTGTCATGGTAGCTAGTTCACTACAAGGAACAGTGGTGACACATACTGTCCTGTAGACAGAAATATGTGCAAGTGACCCTGCCTTGTCCTTTGTCTATGGTCCTTCTTATTTAAGGGACATTGACAGACACATTATATACACATTGTTTATCATTTTCAGGCAAAGTAAGAATGATATGCAATATTTAATCACCAGGAACTCATTGCTAAATTATTGAACACTACAATCTCTACAGTCACTACAAGCAAAGGGTGGACAAAAGGCAGGCTTTCAGCAAAATATGATGTAAAGCAATGAGAGCATGCGGGTACAGTATGATCGTGGAAAAGGTTGGGACATGATTTGGCGTATGGTTCTATGTGAAAACTGCGAACCGAAAGAGAGAGAGAGAGATGCAAGGCAGTCAGCTTCCGTAATCTAGGTCACCTCCCACAGCATGAGTAATGATTAAAAATAACCACAATCTTTGTCAAAATCTCCCCCAACCCCCACAGACAGTGAACAATAACGTTTTGTGCTCGCCTGAAAAAGCCTACCAACACAGACAATGATGAACTCATCCCCCCACTCCTGCCTATTCCAGTTAACGCAATTAAATAGCAGCATATTGTTATGTATTATTACATTTACATTTTAGTCATTTAGCAGACGCTCTTATCCAGAGCGACTTACAGTTAGTGATTGCATACATTATTTTTGACGATGCACACGCGTACACACACACTATTGTGCACATGTTTTTTGGCCAGAGGAAAAGGGTTTAGTGAGTCGACGGATACCAATGAGATCACACATTCCATTCCCACTCCAACATGATTGAGACAAACGTAATAGTTTAAAATGTCAGATTCCCTATCAGCCACTTTGCATTGGACATTGTGGTAAAAGAATGAGCATACAATGAAAATGTCAAATTTGTGAAATGGAAAATTGCAATCATTTTAATCCCTACAAGGTTTCCTTGGCGACTTCAGCACTTTGCCATGCAGCAGTCTCTGAAGCAGCGTCCAGACTGTTTCTGGGTTCGTTCAAGCTGATGATTGAGTGACTTGTTGACTATACTGTAGCAATAATAACCACTGGAGAAACGTCAGGCTGCCACCACTACTGTCCTGGTCTTTACACAGCCTAGTAAATCATGCAGCATGGATGTAGCTAATAATAGATGAAGGGGTTTAAGGGGGTTGCCCTTCATTGGCCTTATGGGACAGTGAGTCAGAGAGAGGCATGCCACATGAGTGAGAGAGGCCTTAAGGTGGAGGAGTGAGAGTGGGAAGTAGGAGGGGGGACCTGCCTGAGAAGAGTGCAGCAGAGAGGAGGGAAGGAGGTTCAGCAGCAAGAGAACCAGAAGGAAGACAGATGAGAGGAGGTGTGGCTGAAGACTCAGGGAGGGGAGAGCAAGGAGGGGTAGAGAGGTGGAGGCGTGGGGGACAGGGGGTTAGAGGTCCTCTGTCTCAGGCAGGAAGGCCATCTGGGAGAGGCGGGCGAGGACACGCAGCATGGCCCTGTTCTCAGCCAGCAGACGCTCGTTGCCGCTTCGCAGTGCCTGCAGCTGAGTCAGATCAGGGAGGGCCTGCAGTAAACACAGGAATACAGAGAGATAGAGAGATAGAAAGAAAGAGAGCAAGGGGACAGGCCAGTGGAAAGGAGGAGGCAGAGCTATAAACACACACACACACACACAAACATTCACACACAAAGAGACACAAAGAGATACTGTAAAAGGAAACAAGAAAGGAATCGGCAAAAGAGACAGCTATGCAAAAGAAAAGCAAAGTGCAGCAGGGAGATATCCTTAAGTTTGCTCTCTACAAACCTGGGCAGTTTTAAAAGGCGGTGGGTGGGGAGGTGCTATATGGTTTACATAGCTTGTCAGTCATGCTGGGGTGAGAAGGGGGTGGGGGACTTTCAATATAACCTTCAATTTCAGCCTCAGTCAGAGAGCCCAATAAGTTATAGGTCATAGAAAAAGGAAATTATTAATTTCCCTGGGTTCCCTGGCAGGCTTTAGAGGTAAACCTCAGTGCGGTTTAGTGGAGAGGCAAGGAGGCAGCACACACAGAGACAGAGGAAAACTGAGCCCTGTGTGGCTCAGAGAGGAGAGGAAGGCTGGGTAGAAAGGGAAGAAATGAAGGTGAGCCTGGAGGGAAGGGAAAAGCTGGGGAGAAAGAGAAGAGAGAAGCCCAGTGAGGAGAAGAAGGACACAGAGAAAGAGAGAAGAGAAGTGAGGAAGGCCAGGAAGAAAAGAGATGGAGGAGATCCAGCTGCTAACACCCCAGGGAACCATTTGAAGTCTGCCTTTACTCGGACTGAAGAATTCATGGATATGTCAGACTGTTTCTCTCTCTCTCTCTCTCCTCTCCTCTCCCTCTCCTCTCCTCTCTCTCTCTCTCTCTCTCTCTCTCTCTCTCTCTCTCTCTCTCTCCTCGTCACCTCTCTCCTCTCAACACTCCGCTCTCCCTCCACTCCACTCTCTTCTCTCTCCTCTCCACCTCTTTCACACTCTCACTCTCTCTACTCTTCCACCTCTCTCTCTCTACTCTCCACTCTCTCCTCTCCACTCCCTTTCTCTCTCCACTCTCTCTCTCCTCTCCTCTCCTCTCTCTCCTCTCTACTCTCCACTCTGTTTCTCTCTCCTCTCCACTCAAAGAGAAACTTGTCAATAGTGGTTCTTCAGAACAGTGTGCTGTGAAAGACTTACTGAGACTTACGGAGAGAGGAGAGGAGAGGAGAGGAGAGGAGAGGAGAGGAGAGGAGAGGAGAGGAGAGGAGAGGAGAGGAGAGAGAGGAGAGAGAGGAGGGAGAGGAGGAGAGAAAGCGGAGAGGAGAGAGAGTGGAGAGAGGAGAGGAGAGGAGAGGAGGAAGGAGAGGAGAGGAGAGGAGAGGAGAGAGAGAGGAGGGGAGAGAGAGGAGGATGTAGCCAGAGGGGTGAGATTGAGAGAGCATGCTTAATTATTTATTCCTCATGATGTTTTAATGCTCTTGAACTCTTTGATTTTTAACCAGAGCTGAGTCCTATAGATAAATTCCCACATTTTGCCAGTGCTGGAGTTTCAGAGGCTGCCAGGAATAATCCTAGCCCATTATCCCAGAGAGACCCATCCCACTGGGCACACCCTGGTTGAATCAACGTTGTTTCCACGTCATTTCAATGGAATTACGTTGAACCAAAGTGGAATAAACTGTGAATTGACGTCTGTGCCCAGTGGGATATTAGAGAGCCATAGAGTAACCAGAATTGTAAAACATCGGACAGACACTATGGCAAAATAAATATGTAGAATCGCATCAGACCTATGTGAAAAGAGGAAAAGTATGTCTGTATAAGGTTGTCTGTATAATATCTCTAACCCAGTGGGCAAAACCGGTTGCAATGATGTCAAAGCAACCGAGTTTCTGGTTGTAATGATGTTGCAGCCTGCCTGCTGGGATATGACTTTACATACTTCTAATGTGTGCCAATGTGTGTGTGTGTATGTGTGTGTGCAATGTGTGTGTTTGTGTGCACAGGCATGTGTTCATGTCCAGGTCTCTAAAGAGGTGAGGTGACAGGCAGGTGTCAATCACTTCTCCTTGGCTCCCAGACAAGACCACTCACCGTCCCCCAGGTCACAACATGGGGTCAAACACTCTGTTCCCATCTTCCGTCTCACTTCTCTGTGTCACATACTGAGTTGTCATCATAACCTTTGGCTATTGCTAGAAGTGGTTCGCACTTGCTTAAGGTTCACATCTATTCAGTCTTGAATTATATTAATTATATTCAGCCCGTCGCTCTTCGAAATGCTAAATATGCACAATTAGTGAAGGAATGCTTAACATAAGCAGGTCCTTTGCTCTTGGACGGAGCCTGGTATTCAGCTGGATCTAGGTCAGTCAGTGTGTAGCCAACAACAGACAGCAGGCCTGCTCCTCTCTCTCTCTCTCTCTCTCTCTCTCTCTCTCTCTCTCTCTCTCTCTCTCTCTCTCTCTCTCTCTCTCTCTCTCTCTCTCTCTCTCTCTCTCTCTCTCTCTCTCCCTCAACCTCATCATCACCTGTTTGCCTATAATAACCAAGCAGGGCAATGTAGTGACCTCTCCCTGTTGCAGTGGAGACCTTACCTTGAGCTCTTCCTCCATGTCTGTTACCCTCTTCTCCAGAGCCTGTTTTTCCTGAGGAGAGGAGGAGAAATGTTATAGCAGGTAGTTCAGGTCAGAATCATAATGGACGTTAAGTTAAATTAAGAGTTATTTTTCATTCCCACACATGATGATGAGCCCATAGTGGAATGAACAGACAGACACCAACACACTACAGTAAGTAAGTAAAATATCTGAAAAAAGAGACTGAGATCAGAAAAAAAGAAGAGAGTGGTAGAAAATGTAGATGTCAAGGTGTCAGGATTGGAATGTTGAGAAGTCCTCAAGATGTATAACACGTTATAGATACCCTTTTCTCTGATTCAAGTACAGTGGATCTTTCATATATTCTGTCCTGTTTCTGTAAGACAGAGTGGCACAGTTATCACAAAGTGAAAAATAAATATGCAGTGGGTTGACTTAAAATAGAATAAAACAGAATTTGAAAACTTTGAAGGGGATACACTGGTCCGTTTTCAAAGCACCTTGCGGTTGCCTTGAACAATGTATAGCTCAAATGCTATATGCATGCTGTTGAGACGTGTGAACTACACTGAACTTAATTAAGATGGTCGACAGAAGGCTATGCAGGACAGTCTCAGTGTTGTGCTCAGTATTGAGCTTGGGGAGGGACTCTATTGTATGCCTGATAGTCATCAGCCAATCAGACCCACTCCTAGTATACTGTACCTGGGTAACTTTGTCCAGCTGGGTGCGGATCTTGGTCAGCTCCTGTTTGCTGTCATCCAGCCGGGACTTGAGCTTGTCATTCTCTGCCAAAGCGTCTTCATACATCTGAAAGAGGACAAATCAAAAGGTTAACGCTTATGCCACTTGAAGATACAGTACCTTGTCATATGATAACATTTTCCCCACAATAGGTCAGCTCTGTAATCTCTGCGTCAGGTGAATCAACAAGAAGTGGTTATGTATTACATTGATCACTTTTTTCCCCATACACAACTCTCTCCTGATTAAAACATGGATGGCACTGTATGTGGGATAAAACAAATGTACATATGGCATCTATTTACCGCAGACCACATGTATGGCGTTGTGTGGGCGAGCGGTTTGCTGATGTCAACGTTGTGAACAGAGTGGTGGTGGGGTTATGGTATGGGCAGGCATAAGCTACAGACAACGAACACAATTGCATTTTATCAATGGCAATTTTAATGCACAGAAATACCGTGACGAGATCCTGTGAGGCCCATTGTGAGGCCCATTTTTTTAAAGGTATCTGTGACCAACAGATGCATATCTGTATTCCCAGTCATGTGAAATCCATAGATTAGGGCCTAATGAATTTATTTAAATTGACTGATTTTCTTAAATGAACTGTAACTCAGTAAAATCTTTGAAATTGTTGCATGTTGCGTTTATATTTTTGTTCAGTATATTTAACGTTTATTTAACCAGGTTAGTTTCGTTGAGATAAAAAATAGATATCTTCTGTTTCCCTTCTGGGTTCTACATTACCTTCTTGTAATCCCTGGGGCTGGTGTCGTCTTCCTGCTTGTTCAGCGCTGCCAATCTGGTTTCCCTACGTGTGTAGGAGCTGGTTCTGCCCAGGGGTTCAGCCCTGTTGTCCCCACCACCAGAGTACAACCTGGGATGAAGGACGAAGCACAGCTCCTTGAGTGGGGGGTGTGCAACATCCAGCAACTCAGCTGACATTACAACAGTGTTTGAACACTGACATACATAACATACAAACATTGAGTGCTGTATGTGTTTCTCATGAAGCTAAAATAGCAATCAGGTTTAGAAGAAAGCAAGAGAAGGAAGATCTGAATCTGTACATACCTTGATGCCCTATCATGCTGTAAATGAACAGAGAAAAAACATGTTAGCGAAGTGTGACAATGTATTACAAAAACCTCTTACTGTATGTATGAAATCATTTTGATTAGAACTAGCAGTGGTTGAATCTGAGACATTTAATTTGTATGAAGTATCATGCAGAGACTTCAGACAGAGTAAAACATTTTCCATGAGGACACCATGGAGAGAAAAAGAGAACCTTTATGTGACATCCAACCCACAATGTGTTCAGATTACTTGCATCCCAAAGGACAGGAATTGCATAGGCCAACACAAGTGATATTCTTGTGATATATACAGTGCATTTGTAAAGTATTCAGACCCTTGACTTTTTCCACATTTTGTTACGTTACAGCCTTATTCTAAAATGGATTAAACTAAAAAATGTCCTCAAACATCTACACACAATACCCCATAATGACGAAGTGAAAACAGGTTTTTAGAAATGTATACTAATTTATTAAATATAAAAAACAAAAATATCAAATTTACATAAGTATTCAGACCCTTTGCTATAAGACTCGAAATTGAGCTCAGATGCGTCCTGTTTCCATTGATCATCCTTGAGATGTTTCTATAACTTGATTGGAGTCCACCTGTGGTAAATTCAATTGATTGGACATGATTTGGAAAGGCACACACCTGTCTATATAAGGTCCCACAGTTGACAGTGCATGTCAGAGCAAACACCAAGCCAAGAGGTTGAAGGATTTGTCCATAGAGCTTTGAGACAGGACTGTGTCGAGGCACAGAACTGGAGAAGGGTAACAAAACATTTCTGCAGCATTGAAGGTCCCCAAGAACACAGTGGCCACCATTCTTAAATGGAAGAAGTTTGGAACCACCAAGACTCTTCCTAGAGCTGGCTGCCAGGCCAAACTGAGCAATTGTGGAAGAAGGGCCTTGGTCAGGGAGGTGACCAAGAACCCGATGGTCACTCTGACAGAGCTCCAGAGTTCGTCTGTGGACATGGGAGAACCTTCCAGACGGACAACCATCTCTGCAGCACTCCAACAGTCAGGCCTTTATGGTAGTGGCCAGACAGAAGCCACTTCTCAGTTAAAGGGCACAGTCAAAAGGCACCTAAAGGACTCTTAGACCATGAGAAACAAGATTCTCTGGTCTGATGAAACCAAGATTGAACTCTTTGGCCTGAAAGCCAAGCGTCACGTCTGTAGGAAACCTGGCACCATCCCTACGGTGAAGCATGGTGGTGGCAGCATCATGCTGTGGGGATGTTTTTCAGCGGCAGGGACTGGGAGACTGGTCAGGATCGAGAAAAAGATGAACGGAGCAAAGTACTGAGAAATCCTTGATGAAAACCTTCTCCAGAGCGCTCAGGACCTCAGACTGGGGGCGAAGGTTTACCTTCCAGCAGGACAACAACCCTAAGCACACAGCCATGACAACGCAGGAGTGGCTTCTGGGACAAGTCTCTGAATGTCCTTGAGTGGCCCAGCCAGAGCCCGGACTTGAACCTGATCGAACATCTCTGGAGAGACCTGAAAATAGCTGTGCAGCGACGCTCTCCATCCAACCTGACAGAGCTTGAGAGGATATGCAGAGAAGAATGGGAGAAACTCCCCAAATACAGGTGTATACATTATTATTTTTTATTTGATTTTTTATACAATATAAAATAATACAAAATAAAAGTAACAAATAATTAAAGAGCAGCAGTAAAAATAACAACAGCGAGGCTATATACAGGGGGTACCGGTACCGAGTCAATGTGCGGGGGCACCGGTTAGTCAAGGTAATTGAGGTAATATGTACAGTGGGGAAAAAAAGTATTTAGTCAGCCACCAATTGTGCAAGTTCTCCCACTTAAAAAGATGAGAGAGGCCTGTAATTTTCATCATAGGTACACGTCAACTATGACAGACAAATTGAGATTTTTTTTCTCCAGAAAATCACATTGTAGGATTTTTAATGAATTTATTTGCAAATTATGGTGGAAAATAAGTATTTGGTCACCTACAAACAAGCAAGATTTCTGGCTCTCACAGACCTGTAACTTCTTCTTTAAGAGGCTCCTCTATCCTCCACTCGTTACCTGTATTAATGGCACCTGTTTGAACTTGTTATCAGTATAAAAGACACCTGTCCACAACCTCAAACAGTCACACTCCAAACTCCACTATGGCCAAGATCAAAGAGCTGTCAAAGGACACCAGAAACAAAATTGTAGACCTGCACCAGGCTGGGAAGACTGAATCTGCAATAGGTAAGCAGCTTGGTTTGAAGAAATCAACTGTGGGAGCAATTATTAGGAAATGGAAGACATACAAGACCACTGATAATCTCCCTCAATTTGACCCGTGGGGTCAAAATGATCACAAGAACAGTGAGCAAAAATCCCAGAACCACACGGGGGGACCTAGTGAATGACCTGCAGAGAGCTGGGACCAAAGTAACAAAGCCTACCATCAGTAACACACTACGCCGCCAGGGACTCAAATCCTGCAGTGCCAGACGTGTCCCCCTGCTTAAGCCAGTACATGTCCAGGCCCGTCTGAAGTTTGCTAGAGTGCACTTGGATGATCCAGAAGAGGATTGGGAGAATGTCATATGGTCAGATGAAACCAAAATATAACTTTTTGGTAAAAACTCAACTCGTCGTGTTTGGAGGACAAAGAATGCTGAGTTGCATCCAAAGAACACCATACCTACTGTGAAGCATGGGGGTGGAAACATCATGCTTTGGGGCTGTTTTTCTGCAAAGGGACCAGGACGACTGATCCGTGTAAAGGAAAGAAGAGATTTTGAGTGAAAACCTCCTTCCATCAGCAAGGGCATTGAAGATGAAACGTGGCTGGGTCTTTCAGCATGACAATGATCCCAAACACACCGCCCGGGCAACGAAGGAGTGGCTTCGTAAGAAGCATTTCAAGGTCCTGGAGTGGCCTAGCCAGTCTCCAGATCTCAACCCCATAGAACATCTTTGGAGGGAGTTGAAAGTCCTACAATGTGATTTTCTGGATTTTTTTTTCTCATTTTGTCTGTCATAGTTGACATGTACCTATGATGAAAATTACAGGCCTCTCTCATCTTTTTAAGTGGGAGAACTTGCACAATTGGTGGCTGACTAAATACTTATTTTCCCCACTGTACAGGTAGGTAGAGTTATTAAAGTGACTATGCATAGATAATAAACAGAGAGTAGCAGCAGCGTAAAAGAGTGGTGGGGGGCAATGCAAATAGTCTGGGTAGCCATTTGATTAGATGTTCAGAAGTCTTATGGCTTGGGGGTAGAAGCTGTTTATAAGCCTCTTGGACCTAGACTTGGTGCTCCGGTACCGCTTGCCATGCGGTAGCAGAGAGAACAGTCTATGACTAGGGTGGCTGGAGTCTTTGCAATTTTTAGGGCCTTCCTCTGACACCGCCTGGTATAGAGGTCCTTGATGGCAGGAAGCTTGGCCCCAGTGATGTACTGGGCCGTACGCACTACCCTCTGTAGTGCCTTGTAGTCGGAGGCCGAGCAGTTGCCATACCAGGCAGTGATGCAACCAGTTAGGATGCTCTCGATGGTGCAGCTGTATAACCTTTTGAGGATCTGAGGACCCATGCCAAATCTTTTCAGTCTCTTTAGGGGGAATAGGTTTTGTTGTGCCCTCTTTACGACTGTCTTGGTGTGCTTGGACCATGTGAGTTTGTTGGTGATGTGGACACCAAGGAACTTGAAGCTCTCAACCTGCTCCACTACAGCCCCGTCGATGAGAATGGGGGCGTGCTCGGTCCTCTTCTTTTTCCTGTAGTCCACAATCATCTCCTTTGTCTTGATCACTTTGAGGGAGAGGTTGTTGCCCTGGCACCACACGGCCAGGTCTCTGACCTCCTCCCTATAGGCTGTCTCGTCGTTGTCGGTGATCAGGCCTACCACTGTCATCGGCAAACTTAATGATGGTGTTGCTTGAAACATGTTGGTATTACAGACTCAGACAGGGAGAGGTTGAAGATGTCAGTGAAGACACTTGCCAGTTGGTCAGCGCATGCTCGGAGTACAGGTCCTGGTAATCCGTCTGGCCCTGCGGCCTTGTGAATGTTGACCTGTTTAAAGGTCTTACTCACATCGGCTATGGAGAGCGTGATCATACAGTCATCCAGAACAGCTGATGCTCTCATGCATGTTTCATTGTTACTTGCCTCGAAGCAAGCATAGAAGTAATTTAGCTTGTCTGATAGGCTCGTGTCACTGGGCAACTTGCGGCTGTGCTTCCCTTTGTAGTCTGTAATAGGCTGTAACGTAACAAAATGTGGAAAAAGTCAAGGGTCTGAATACTTTCCGAATGCACTGTAATTCACCGGGACCCTGCATGCTCTTCTCTCCTGCTCTGAAAGAGTTCAGGGTTTGTCTTTATTTTTTACTATTTTCTACATTGTAGAATAATAGTGAAGACATCAAAACTATAAAAGAACACATATGGAATCATGTAGTAACCAAAAAAGTGGTAAAAATATCTATATATATATATTAATATATATAAAAATATATTTTAGATTTTAGATTCTTCAAAGTAGCCACCCTTTGCATCTCAACCAGCTTCATGAAGAATGCTTTTCCAACAGTCTTGAAGGAGTTCCCACATATACTGAGCACTTGTTGGCTGCTTTTCCTTCACTCTGCGGTCCAACTCATCCCAAACTATTTCAATTGGGTTGAGGTCGGGTGATTGTGGAAGCCAGGTCATCTGATGCTGCACTCAATCACCCTCCTTCTTGGTAAGATAGCCCTTACACAGCCTAGAGGTGTGTTTTGGGTCATTGTCCTGTTGAAAAACAAATGATAGTCCCACTAAGCGCAAACCAGATGGGATTAAGTGTGCCTTGAATTCTAAATAAATCACAGACAG